ATGTAGATTTTAAAATTTCTGATTTTAGGCATATTTTATATAACTAATAAAAATATTACTATATCTAATAGTTAAAAACAAATTAAAATTAATCAAAAATTTTCATTTGCACTTTTTGATTTGGGTCTTCCAGTGCCTAACCTGTCTTACGAAATTCAAGGAAGCTTTTCAGCTCAAGGAGTATCTCCTGATATGGGTACGGTTGATTTCTTTTGGTTTTGTTCTTGATTTAGCAGTTAAGTTTATGGCTGATCCATTTTTATGATTGATGTTGCAAGGATAATTTGGGAGGAGTTCATTTTTTTCTTTTCCTTCTTTATCTTCTTTTTTTTTTTTTTCTTGCGTTCTTGCTTCTGTCTCTTCGTCGTAGTTTTGTAGGGTTTAAGGGCTAGTAGGCTTTCCTGGGGTCCCTGCGAATTTTGCTTCTTCCTTCCGTCTCTTGGAACACCCGTTTCTTCTTTCTTTATAATTTCTTTGGAATTTCTTGAACTAGCGATCATTTCTTTCCTCGAGAAATTTACAGAATATGAGACTTTTTGCTGTTTCTCTGGTGCTGTTGCTTACATTTGCTGCTTGGGACTTCTTCCCAAACAAAGGTATGTCTCAGAATTGAAGATCAAGTTCTTTCCTTAGATTGTTTACTTTTCCATCGTTCCTCTTAATTATCTAAAACTTGGGCTTAGTTCATCATGAACCATCAATTGGATAGGAAAAAATCATGTTATTCCAAATAGATCATGGTTTAGCTTGTTGTGACTAATTATTCTTTGTCATAATCATCTAGGATGATGGTCCCATGGCTCACCCTGTTCAACCTCACTCTTATATCAAGGTCTTGATTCTCCTCTTTCTTCTGATAGTCACTTGTGTGTATAGAGTTTGTTCAAGGCTTTTGCATCTATAGTTTCTTCTATATTTGCTTAGATTTCTTTTTTCCTCCATGACAGATGGACAACATTTATACAGGCAAGCTCCTGTTTCATTGAATTAGTGAATAATACCTTCATAAATGTCTTAGCAATTTGAATGTTGAAACTTGCCTCTGACTTGAATATACAATGTTTTGGCTATCACATCTCCTGGTATGGTGGATATGATGGCTGATTTTCAACTTGCAGTAACGGTAAGGCATAGCATTTGCATCGTTTGATTTCTCTTCTTGGCAGTGTGTGAACTTCTGCGACTGATTTTTCATCTGTTCATTTTGCAAGTGTATGAGAAGGTATCTCTCTCTCTCTCGCTCCCTGTCTTTCTCACTCTTTCACTCCTCTCTCTGCTGGACATTACTTGAAACCACCAAACGCTTGGTGGTTTCAAATTTTCTTGTTGTTCCCTCTTAGGAATCTGGAAATTTCAGTAGGATAACTTTTAGTTTAGTTTGGATACATTGGCAGGCTTTTGGAATAATAAATTTGATTTTGATGAGAAAAGTCAAAGATTACACAAATTAGAGTATACATTAAAAATCTGATGTCAATCAAGATTTGGCTTCTTGGTCTAGTTAATAGTGATGGACGTTATGGTAAATTGAAACTCAAAGTGGTGGCTAGATGCTCCTGGCCTTGCTTGTATGGACGTTATATGGTTCATTGCCCAGATTGAAATGTTAATTTTATCAGGCTGCTTAGTAAGACTAGAGCGAACTTTTCCTTTCTTCTCTGCTATATTTGGTTTTGAATTGTTCGTTATCAACATATACACTTAGAACTTCATGATATTCTTGATTAGTAAAAGATAATATTCAAATGCACCATATGTGTCTGTAATGACTTGCTGAAAAGAGCAGCAAGGTGAAAACACATTGGCAACATTTTCCAATGTATCAAAGCAGTCTCAACAAAAAATTTAATACAACATGGCACATAACCTTGAGCAGAAAACAAATATCAGTATGGATAAGTTCGCTGCAATTGTGACAGCAAAAAAGGAGTAAATAACTTAAAACAAATTGTACATGATTTAAAACTAATTTATACAACTTTTACCATCATTCACTAATTGTAATTTCATGATTTACTTTCCTCTTGAATGAATCCCAAATTTTCTACCTTATTCTTGTACCTTGAAAAAGTAGCTTCCTCTACTATTTGATTCATATCCCTACTCTTCCTTTTCCCTTTTTCATTGAATAAAAAAGCAGAGGCAAAAGCTGCATGACAGCTATGGGAAAAATAAGAAAAAAACGATGATACAAATTTCAAGCATTTCACCCATATAAATTTGATATTGAGACCATTAATCACATAAACAAAATTGTTTGGCCTGAAACCTATAATTGGCAATTGAAGAAGAACTTTTGGAGCAACATATTTTTTTCCTTTAGATTAAGAGGAGAGTATTATAGGATTCTGAAAGATAAATTTGGCATGCATCAGCATTTTGGGCCTATTTTTTTCCTAAACCATTAAAGAATGGAGGCTTGTGTAATTTTTAACTGCCTCTGCAACCATTGTCATTAGAGCTGGTAAAAAAGCCCAAAACCCAACAATCCGTTCATTAATTTTAAAAGATGGGTTGGATCAGTTGGATTATGAGTTTTGTTGGGTTGGGTAAGAACAATCCAACTTATTTATTGGATGGATTGGATTTTTTATTTGGGCGCCAATACCTAACTTGTTTAAAAATAATTCAAAACAATAAATATAAGATTCAATACACATATGTCAAACCACTTGCATTTGGGCATGTGTTAATAATTCATTGACCAATTTGTATTCAAAATTTTCATATATATATATATGTTTTTAATTAATTTTTGAAAATTTTATTTAAAAGAAAAAAGAACCTTGAAATAAAAACTAATACTTATTTTACTTTTACAACAATAGGTAAACTTGCGCAACACCTATAATAATAATTTATTATGCCTTTTAAGAGTATATTGTTTTCCTCCATTTTTTTCTTTTCTTTTTTTGGTTGTTGTTTTCCGATCGTTACTTGCTTCTGTTTGTTAATATTTCGCGTACCCAGAATAAAGTTTTAAATTTGTTCTAATTACATTCTTTTACTTCTCTCTAACTTGTTTTACTTTATTGTTAATAATTTCTCATCAATATTATAATGCAACAAATTATATATCTCTTAATTACATTTTCATGTATAATACAATCTAGCATTCAATAATTTAGTTGCATAGAATGTTACAACTTACAATAAAGCATATTTGAATAGTAAAAGTGTTAAATAAGTTGTGACAAAAACAAGTTTTAATCAATTAATAGTGTTAAAAAGTATAAAGTAAACAATTTTTTTTAGCTAATTTATTTAAGTGTACAATTTATTATCTAAAATTCGCAGTACAAGTAATATAAAATATTATTTTATTTTATGATGTGTTTCCAAGAAACTTAAGAAGTGAGTGTGTTAGAGACCAGTTAGTGTTGGAGACCAGTTAATATAAAATAGCTATCAATGTTGGAGACCAGTTAAAAACTGATGCTTGCAGCGGTCCATTCAAGGCCTAGGGAAGTATAGGATCGTTAAACAAAGATCGAGATCGACCATCTAGTGCTAGAGATACCCCGGAGCAATCCAGAAAAGTTACTTTCAACATGTTTTGTACGAGTGAATGCATACGGAAGTACGACTTAATTATAATTTAAGCCACACATCTTAATTATAAATTTATAATCCAAGAGGAAGACAACCACTCCTTATCCAGCTTAATTTGCTTTGAAGCTTATATTCATCCGGCACCTCCCTTTCCGACCAGTCTCCGCCCAGCTTAAGTTGCTTAAAAGCTAGAATCCTCCAACCAATTCTCTATTCAGCTTAAGTTGGTTAGAGTCTAACATTTGTCCAGCACCTTCCTTGCCTTCCTTTCCTCTATTTCGTGAAAGCATACAAACACAATCTCCATGGAGCTAGCTCCCAATTAGATTTGTATGTGGAATCCAAAACGTGACTAAATTTGCAAAATTTGTTCCCTTGTGGTGAATATTTCCTCTCTCCTTTATGTTATTCCTTTCTTTCTTTCTTTCTTTCTTTCTTTTTTGGGTTAATAATGTGTTTTTTTCCCAGACACTTCGTCAATTATTGATATTGCTTACACGGTCCTCATTAAAGTGTCATGAAAGGCTGCTAATTAAGAAATAAATCCATAAAAGGAATTTTAGGGAATTGAACAATTTTTCTTTTGTTACATAACATTATCAATATTTTAATTTGTAAATCCTTTGTGAAACACAGATGCTACGATTTTTAGTTGTGAATACGCAATGGTTGGCGGTTTAGTCAATAAATTTTCTCCATTTAAGTGTCTCGAGCACTCTTAGAAAAGTTTGACAATTCTTTGTTCTCCGCGATTAATTTCTTTCTTCTTCTTCAAGGTCTGCCACTCCCAGATTCTCTGTCTCTCGATACACACTCGATCCTAGCTATTTTGGGCCAATCGGACTAAGTTTGAGCTGGCCCTAGCACATTGATAATCCTAACTGAGCTGTGCTTATATTGAAGCATCGGTGACCAGAAGGAACTTGGCTTGACCATGCTCAAAAAGCTAGTGGCATAAATTGACAATTTGCACACCTAACAAAAAAAAAATCACTAATCTCTTTTATTAAATTCAACTGGACGACTTGAAAATTAATAGCACCATAAATTTTCTCATTGTTATTAAACTTAGGCTCATCTCATTCGCCATTATAATTTACCTGCTGATTCCATAAGACATCACTCTATAGCCGATTAACTCCCTGTCTATACCTACACGGATATTGACTCACCAATCCTGACCTGTATACAGAATTTTTTTCTGAGGTAAAATTACTGTATTTCCAATGTCATATGATACTTTCTTTTGGGGGGCCGGGCCTGTATTTCACATGATGATTCTTAAGTCGGGCAATGGAAGTCAATTAATCTTAACATGCAGATAGCAGTTTCTTTGATAAAATCTCAACTTGTAATGACTGACTGTTAAAAACCTCTTAAAAGCAAATGATAGACAAGTTTCTTTATTTTCATCATAAACGAGAAAAAGAAAGAGCAACTTAACCATATTCATGAATGCAACCAAACAATCAAAAGCGGATAACATGCCAAAAATGCCACAGAAAACCTGCCCTAGAAATGATCATAGCGTTAGAAATCATGCGGCTGGGTGCGGATTCTACTTCATATTTTTTCTTATTGGGCGTTTTCTGCTTCTTCTTCTTTTGGTTCGGCGCTGGATTCTTGCTCCTTTGCTAGCGCAGCTCCTTCTTCTGAACCACTTTTCTTCAATGAAGTTGTCTTGGTGAGATGATTGTAGCAGCCCTTCTGCTTAAACAATTGAGAGAAGTGGGGCTTGCAATAGAGAATCCCATCTAGAGCAGCATAAGATGAGGGGTTAAGAAAGCAGCCTCCGTGAGCGCACCTGAAGCATGATTTGTGGTAAAATTCTCCTTCCACCGTCACCTGTAACAATTTTCTTCCTGTTCTAAGGTCATTCAGAATTTTAAATTCCATGATAATTATTATAAGGGTCGCAATTAATTGTTAATTTTTCCCATCAGCTTATATTTCAATTTTTAGGTGAACAGTTATAAAATTTCATTTTATACAAGTTGATTTAGATTTTTGCGAGGTGCATTACACAAATACTATATTTTTAGAGCTTACTACAAGACGTTGGCATGCATTTAAACCTGTTAGTGGGAATAAAACAATATTATTATTACGGAGCTTAAGGTTGTGCAATTAATTGCAGTTTGGAAGTAGCTAGCCTAATTAAGCAATTCACAATTCCTCAGTCTGTGAACATCTATCTATGTACCTTCTCCAAAGGATAAACTGTTTTCTTGCAGACGTTGCATTTCTCTTGGGTACCAGAGAACAAAGTTGATACTTTACTTGGAGCCCTGCTCTACAGATCACAAAATTAGGCATAAGATATGATTACAAAGATACCTAGCATGCACCATCGATTTCCACGGAGGAAAAAGTAATTAAACCAAACCAAAAACAAAAAGAAAGAAACGTAAGAAGGAAATGAAAAGCATGGCTAGGATTAGTTACCAGTCCATTTGGCTTCCCCGCTAACCATGCATGATAAAAACAACCAATTAGGAAAAGTAGAGAGATTAGAAAACTAAGTAAATGACAATTCCCCTGGAAATTAAAGTCCCAACCATTAGATGTAAAGAAGTAAGAATAAAAGACGAGAAAAGAAATATATAGAAAAGAACCCACAGGTTGCAAGTTTGTTAGCAAACCCTCCGTTCTCCCGAAGGAGCTGCTCGAAATGAGGCTTGCAATACAAGGATCCATCCAGTGGGGATTTAGAATAGTTGCTCATCTGCATATCAGATCATGATAGCTGGCTTGATCAATAAATCTAGTCAATTGATCTCATGCAAATGATGCAATATTAATTATTTGCAATACTTGATCATTATACGAGATCTTTCAAATCCCTGATAAATAAATTGAAAGCCAAAATGTTACCGTGAGTCGTCCATTGCAATGGGTGCATCTAAAGCAAGTATTATGATAAGGAACTCCATCAGCTGACATCATCTCCGCAAAATGAACAGTCTTATCACAGGCCTTACATTTCTGCTGCGTGCCGCTGAAAGACGACATTTTGTTTACCTGTTAATTCGGCACTCAGCAACATATGAGGAGCCTGGGGCTCTTGGTGTAAAAGAAAATGATCTGCTGGAAAGATGATGATGATGATGATGAAGAGAAGAAAAGAAGAGGAACGACCTCTTTATTGTATATTCTTGAATATGTGAAAGGAAATTAAAAAACGAGAAAATTGGAAAATGTGTTTAAGTTAATGGACAAAATGGAAGTTGACATGTTCAGAATCGGCGGTGAAAGTTATCGCGACCCTTAAAATGAGGAATGAGGGGCACTGGACCAGCGAAGGAAGTGCCAATTTTCATTGCTCTCGGAACAGCTGGAAATGTTGTGTCCTAATATATAATGGAAAAAAAAATCTAACTGAATGTTAGGATCCTTTTCTTTTGGACTGCGAGTTTCGTGTAAAAATTACGAGAATATTCTTTAATATATTTTTTTAACCACCTCTTTAATTATCTCAGATAATATATATCACTGAATTAAAATTTAGATAGTTTTACTTTGATTTAGCAGGGTCTTGCTTCAAAATTACAAAAAAAAAAAAAAACCCTTATTCAAATATAAACATTATTGAAAAGCAGACAAAATAACTCATTCAAAATTGACAAAAGCCGTAATGGTCTAAACTAAGTCAAAATGTAGACATTACAACAATAAATTTGCCCATTTATCACGCTAGAAGATCTGAGTTGATAGGAGGGGAAAGAAAGAGCAGAATTTTGTGTACAAATTGAATATTCTCAGATGATTATTTGAGTACAGAAGAAAGCTGTTATTTGTACAAGATATCTGCTCTACATTTCTTTCCTTCATGCTGCGCGAGAATAGCCTGATCATCAACTAGCGAACTGCCATAACCGATATCACGCCAACTGCCAATACTACCGGTCCCACTAATACCAACCAGCCTTCAAACAGCACTATTACGGGTCCCACTAATACTCTAGTACTCCGGCCAGGATACGGGGTGAACCGTGTTTTCTTTTTCTTTTTCAAGGATGGATTATTGTTTTTTACAACCTTAACTAACTTAAATTAAATATCTTACAAAAATAACAAAAAAATCACCATAAAATAAACACGAGAGTAAATGAGAAAAATAGTTATCAAACTATTTAAAATGGTATGATCTAGTCACCAAAAAAAAAAAAATTTTTTTTTTTTTGGATGAAAAGGTTGCTCAACTCTTTACAATGAGCATTTTGGGTCATATCATCTGATTTAGCCGGCAAATCAACCCGAAAGAAGCACCTTTGACCTAGTAGTGTAGGTTTTAGGGGCAAAAATGACCTAAATTGTAAGTCATTTTCGGTTGATTTAATAAAGTATGGCCCAAAAGTCGCGTTTTAAAGAGTTGAGTAATCTTTTGACTTTAAAAAAAATTTGGTGATTAGAGGGCACTATTTTTAGATAATTTAGTGATCATTCTCGTCATTCACTCAAAAAAGGGTTATAGTGAAAAATTCATCTCAAGTAAATAGAATAACAAATTTTTGTGCTCATGAAAACATGCATAGGGCACAGGGAAGATTGCGAAACATTTGTCAATGCATGCCGAGTTTCAAGAGGATGAGAAAAAGGGATTTTCCGTTATCTGTTTGTGTCCCTATTGCAAACAAAAATGTTATGTAAGAAGGAGGAGTATTTTTATCACAAATTAAATGGCCTGTGAAAGAAGTCTTCACCTTGATTTTCTTCATGGCATGTTTATTATGACAACTAAAAATATACGGGAAGCAAATGTGACGGGAGCTGAGAAGAAGACAAACTGACAAAGGCACGCACATATTAGCTAGCGCTTAGCAGTACAGGTTGCGAGAAAAAGTGGGGCCCATGGCAAAGTAGTGGAAAATAGAAAGGCAGATACATGCGCTGGCCCCTGTAATATTGGCATCGTGCCAGTCGAAGGAATAAGACGTACATGGCCTTAAACAACAAGGCCTCCGGAAATAGGCCAGAAAGTTAAAATGGAAAGACGAGCATGCATTAGTAAAAGCATTTAAATTTAGCAATTAATTTCAATCGCATAAAAAAAAAAAGAAGAAGGAAAAGATGGTGTTTCAAAATTCCACTAAAAATTAAATTGAATACCTTTAAGCCACAAAAAATAGATAAATGCAATAAATACTTGGCATCTAATGGCCCCTCGCCCCCCAACAAAATTAAGGAAATAATTATTACATCAATTTTGAGGATAATGTCATAAAAAATTATCAATTTTAATCATGTCACTTTGTAACTATATCTTCATTTATATTTGCTAATTTATGTTATCCTAGCTAGTATAAAACTTACAATCCTTACATGTAAATACTCAAAAGAGCAATGTAATTAAACTAATTATCTATTTTGATTGTAATTTATAATTATCTGTAGGTTATAAATAATGGAGAAACCGACATTCTTCAAGTAACAAGTGAAGCACCTTTGAGCATTTTACAGCGACTCTCTAAATCAATAAAATGAGAATATTGTGGCAGACATTGATTTAATCATGTTAATTTCAAGTTATATATTCATTCATGTTGGTCAATTTACAGTACCTTATAAGGATTATATAACGTTGCGGTGTAATTGTCAAGAAGTGTAGAGCAAGGCTTTGTTTGGAAGACAAGTTTTTTACCAAGTTTGTCTACTACAGGTTTTTTAAAAACTTTAACTACAGTAATCTTAAAAAATTTTTCAAAGTTTTTGAACTATACACTTCAAAATATTAAAAAAAAAAATAAGGGTTGTGGAGCAAAAATTCAACTAAAAAAAGAAATAAGGGTTGTGGAGCAAAAATTCAACTAAAAAAAGAAACTGCCACTTGTCAAAAGAAGTAACCATACACATGGTAAAAACTAAAAAGAGAAGTTGCTACAGTAACCTTTCTTTCTTTTTATATACAAGGTAGACTTGAGGGATACGGGAGAGATTCACAGTAAACATTCACCCACACATTTTTCTCCTGAGAAGCATCCAGACGGAGGAAATATAGAACCAGCAAGTGCAGAATAAGTGGAGAAGTACCTAAGCTATGGTGATTGTCGCTTCCTTTTAATTAGTTATTTCTGGATTTTTACTTTGTATTGTAGTAGATTTTTCGCTTTTCGCTTCATTCGAAGTGTTGAATTTAGCTGCAGTTGTTTTGTTGAAGAAAAATTTTTCAGAAACGATGAAGATATGTGAGATGATCAGTTTGAACAAATATTTCAACTTAAAACTTGGAAACAAAAGTTCTATCGCTGCTTAGAACTCAGTGTTTTTTTTTTTTGGTGATAGTTGTGATGACAAAACATGCAGCTTCGGATTATTTTTCCTTTTCTTTTGCTGTTATTTTGATTTTATTTTTTTAATTTGTAACCTGTCGTTCTCATACGTTTCTTTTTTAGGTTTAAATATGCCAAAAAAAGAACAAGAACCCCGAGCTCCGCCACCCGGAATTCAGTGGTGGTGTTACCATTCCCAGTGTGAATGCTCATTTGCGACTCGTGATGCACTGTTGAAGCACAATAATTCTGTTCATGCTCACTTGAAGTTCACTTGCGATATATGTGATAACAAGTTTAAAAGTAAAGGGGATCTTGTTGCCCATCAACGTTGGGCAAAGGAGAACTAAATCTCTTACATTTTTTTTATTTTATAAATAGTTATGAATCTAGTCGTTATTTTTTTAGTTTTTTTCGTTTCTAAGGAGCCTGCTTCAGTTTTTGCCCAGCTTAGTTTGAAAGAAGGGCTCACTGTCTTCCGTGATCCGGTATACATTTTTTCTGTAGAGGCTGTGGTTATTATAAACATTCAATTTTGGCTTAACTCCTGAACATGGATGCCAACGGACAGGAATTTTCATCTGATGTGGGCAGCAGTACTGTGAAGAGAATAGCCGATGTTTTGAAGCTTAGAATTTATCAATATCCTCAGGTTTATAAAGCTGTCTTTGTTGCGTATGACTCCAGTAGCAAATATTAATTATCTAAAACTTGGGCTTAGTTCATCATGAACCATCAATATTGGATAGGAAAAAATCATGTTATTCCAAATAAATCATGGTTCAGCTTGTTGTGACTAATTATTCTTTGTCATAATCAACTAGGATGCTGGTCCCATGGCTCACCCTGTTCGACCTCACTCTTATATCAAGGTCTTATGATTCTCCTCTTTCTTCTGATAGTCACTTGCACGTATAGAGTTTGTTCAAGGCTTTTGCTTCTATAGTTTCTTCTATATTTGCTCAGATTTCTTTTTTCCTCCATGACAGATGGACAACTTTTATACAGGCAAGCTCATGTTTCATTGAATTAGTGAATAATAGTAATAGTTTCATATATGTCTTGGCAATTTGAATGTTGAAACTTGCCTCTGACCTGAATATACAATGTTTTGGCTAACACATCTCCTGGTATGGTGGATATGATGGCTGATTTTCAACTTGCAGTAATGGTAAGGCATAGCATTTGCATCGTTTGATTTCTCTTCTTGGCAGTGTGTGAACTTCTGCGACTGATTTTTCATCTGTTCATTTTGCAGGTGTATGAGAAGGTATATATATCTCTCTCCCTCTGTCTCTCGCTCCCTGTCTTTCTCACTCTTTCGCTCCTCTCTCTGCTGGACATTACTTGTCTTGGCTTTAGTTCATTTTGCAATCCTTTCATGGAAATGACCGTGCTTGATTTTCTTGAAGTACACTATTAAATAGGCCACTTTCATGAACTGTGAATTACCGTTCATCCCTTTCTATGAACCAAATTGAATACTGCCATATAAAATCATAATTATTCCAGTAGTAGAGATGTGTGCTGTTTATACCAGAAACATATTTTGTGAAGAGTAATACGTAAGCCTACCTTGCATAAAGAACTTGTGTAAGGAAGAGTGGAAGATGAAGCATTTGTATAAGATTGGTTGAATGATTGCTTTTATTTTATGAGATTAATGTGAGTATAGGGATGTAAAAACTCACTTTTCAGCTCATTGCTGAATTAATGTCATCTCGATTCAGGAATGCCACTGTCATACTTATGCTCTTGGCTGCATTTAATTTATGAATGTAGGGCTGGAGAGCACTGCCTATTACCTAGACATAACTAATTTTAGCGTTTTATGCATTTCAAGATTGTTGAAATAAAAGGTATTCATGATGTACAGTTTTTGTTCCCATTGAGCAGAAAGAAGAAGAATTTGTTTTCAATGATATATCTGAGCGGCCAATTCCATCCTTATTACGAGGTTTTAGCGCTCCTGTGTGGCTTCACACTGATCTATCTGATAGTGATCTATTCTTCCTCCTTGCTCATGATTCTGATGAGTTCAACCAGTATGTAGACATGAAACTCATGAGCATTTACCGCAATCCAGTCTATTAGCCAATTAAGCAAAGAATTAGGAAACATCTCTAAACGATATTATGTTTATGTACATTAGTTGGGAAGCTGGGCAGATCTTGGCTAGGAAGCTTATGCTTAGCCTGGTGGGTGATTTCCTGGAAAACAAGCCCTTGGTTCTAAACCCACAATTTGTACAAGGACTCAGAAGCATACTCTGTGATTCAAGCCTGGACAAGGTATGGTGTTTGTGTGCATCACAAAATTCCTTTCATTTGTAGGAATAATAACTATGACTGGATTTGATTGTTTAACTTTTAATGCCCATAACACTCAGGAGTTTATCTCAAAGGCAATAACTCTGCCTGGGGAAGGAGAGATTATGGACATGATGGAAGTTGCTGACCCGGATGCTGTTCATGCTGTCCGAAATTTCATCAGAATGGAGCTTGCTTCTGCATTGAAAGAAGAGTTCCTCAACACAGTATGGATTCCCAAGCTAGTTGAAAAGTATTAAGTCTTTTTTCCATTGTGGTTTTTGATTCATTTCTCGTTTGGCTTGGGTGCTTTTTTAGGTGAACCACAACCACAGCTCAGAACTATATGAGTTTAATCATCCCAGAATGGGTAGGCATGCCCTCAAAAATATTGCCCTTGGTATGTTAGTTAACCTTTTATTTCTTTTAGTTTCCTATGTTTTGTCTGAATTGTATTGTTTCTAGAACGTTGTTCAGCTAATCTCATTTATTTCTTTCCTGACAGCATATCTTGGGTCTCTCGAAGATCCAGAAGTTTCTGAGCTTGCACTGAATGAATATAGGCTTGCTACCAATATTACAGAGCAGTTTGCAGCTTTTGTTGCCATTGAACAGAAGCCAGGTGAAATTCGAGATCAAGTTTTGCCTGGTTTCTACAAAAAAGGGCAGCATGACTTTTTGGTATGCCTCCACGGTTTCTTGTTGAATAGGTTTTCTGATTTCTGTAGGAATTTCTTCATGTCTCCAACTAAGAATCTTGTTGGTTTCAAATTTTGAATTATGCTGTCTATACTTTGTATATTATTGTGGTTTGGAAATAGTAAGTATGAACACTAATTTGGATGAATTATTAAAAGAAGAAATAGCAATGTGTTAATCACTTTAGCCCTTGATCTTTTGGGGCAGTCACACTTTACCACACTTAACCGTAAAAATAAATAAATTTACGGCCCATGACGATTGGTCAACCATGGAAATCTGAACTCCATTAAAAAACAGAGTGCTACGACAACATTACCTTTTTGTTGCTGAAATTATTTGTAGTTTACTTATACCAAAAGTGAAACTTGATTTACTCCATATTTTCCTTCCATGAGTTTAAAAGTAAGGCATATCATCCCTTTTTAACAATTTTGGTTCAGTGTTTAATCATTGATTAATTTGACAAACAAAAAAATGACAATAATGTTATTCTGACAGTTTATATAAACTAAAATAATAAAAATCTGTTGTCTAAAACAACAAGCTTACTATTGCTTTACGTTTTCGAAATTTTGCTATATCTATCTATTGTTAGTGCTGTGTTATTTATCCCTGTTGTTTGACTTGAAGTCTAATAAATTGAACAAACTATACATGAAAATGAACATTGATTTTATAGGATAAATTTCAAGGATAATAAACTAAATGTAAACTTTTTTGGCTTTTATCAATTTGATATTTTTGTATAGTATGTACTATAGAGAAAAATGTTATCTTCTAGCAATAAAATGGAAAATGTTATAAATAAAAGGGCAATAAGGAGTTAAGATTTCTGACTTTGACTAACCCAATGTTCGGGGGGCCAAAGTGTACTTAACCAAATAAGAATTTAGTTAACGAGTAATAACCTGGTATCCTAGTCAACTGGAGAATTGATATTGCACAGCTGACTCTTAACTCTGAGGAAAGGTTTTGATAGGCGAAACTTGGCATTGTCCAAAATTGATCTTGTATCTTTGTTGTTTAATAACTCGACAATTGCTAAGTGATTAATTAAGTTTGAGTATTACTACTCTCTAAGAAGAATAGAATAGGCAGATAAAAAACTTTTCAGGTTCTTTTAGAGTTTTTTGTTATCTATTTTTCTCCAGGTTGTAAACAAGTGGTTTGCACTTCAAGCCGCATCAGATATTCCTGGGAATGCTGCAAATGTCAATAAGCTTCTAGAACATCCTGCCTTTGACCTGCGCAATTCAAACAAGGTTCGTTACACTTTATGTCTAATTTCACTTGGTAGATTTCCATCATTTTAGTGCTCAGTCTTGATATGTTCTGCAGGTATATATTGATTAATTGGAGGATTCCGTGTCAACTTCCATGCAAAAGATGGATCAGGCTACAAATTCTTGGGAGAAATTGAGTGCCTATTTGACCGGGCCCAGAGATGCAATTTTCACCACGGCGGACCGGTCAACTAAAGGGCGATACAGGAACATCACGCATTCACATGCGCCGTCTCTTAAAAGTTAAAGCCTAGGACGAAGGCAGATAATTGATTAATGGAGTTTTCTGATGCTGTTGACCGTTGTTGACTTTTGTGTTTGCTTGTCAATATGCCTTTTTCTGCAACCCCGATCCACACACACACACACACACACACCACCACCACCACCACCACCACCAACGACAACAACTTCTTTTTCCCGGTTAGGTTAGGAGTCATTGCGGTTGCAGCCGGTTTCCTAGATTATGCTTCTCTTGCATACAAATGTTATGCAAAACTAGAAACCATGCCAACTGGCAAGTGCAACTTTTCAACAAAAAAAAAAAAAAAAAAAAATGATATGTAATCGCACGTTGCTATGTTTCTAGACAAAGCAATGAAATGAAATGGTATTGGACGTTACGTCCAAAAACAACATAGCCTTTCAAACTTGGAACGTCATTAGCTACATCCAACATCTCATGTATGTATATACTGGTCTTTACAGTTAATTAAGAACATACTACACAAGCATCCCAAAGCAACTAATTAAATATTTAAAACACACCTGTAATGTTTCACCAATGCAAGGCACAAAAGGGCTAAGCCTCTTTTAATTTTTTGACTAGACCTCCTTTGGTGTTACGGAGTACATAACATGTCGATGCACTTTCGTGTGTATCTTTCCTTGCTGCCAACTTTCGGAGCTTTAATTTGGATTTTTCTTTATTCTCATACATTTTTGCTTCTTCTTCCTTTTTCTTTTAAAATAGCCTGGATAACCTGGAGGACAGGGATGCGGTTTTTGAACTTATACATACATGAATTAGGAATCATTCATGGAGATCTGAAGTCCCTAACTGTTATGATAATCAAGGATAGATCTTTATGTGTAAAGCTCACAGGCATGGGTGTTAGCAAATGTCTCACCGGGGTTATAGCTTCCTTGGGTCGGCATGCTACAGAATTAGTCATTCCTTAACTATTATGATATAAATTTGCATGCATCCATACCATCCACCAATTACATTAACCGCTAATCTTCTTATTCAGAACTATTTGTGGATTGAGGCTCTGTTGAACTACATGTTATGTTGGTTCTTGAGGGTTTTCTTTTGTGCAAGTGATTCAGAACTAGTCTGTCACTGTGAACCAATATGGCTATTCTGAAATTTTAGGGTTATTATTACTTTACCTCCTTAAACTATATCACCACTATCAGTTTATCCCCTAATTAACGTTATCTTTTAGTCACTTTACCCTCATAAGTAATTCAACTCAACATGTTAAAAAATTTTGGACAAAAATACCTTTTTATTTTATAGCATTATTATATTCTTATTATCACTTTATTCGTTTAGATTATAGTGATACAATAACTTTAGTTCCTAACATTATTTTCTAGATATTTTACCTCATTGTTAATCTAATAAGTATGGTAAAAATTTTTTAAATATATTTATCCTTTTTATATATATAATTAAAAATAAAAAGTTGAAATGGTTATGCTTCCTTTTTTCACTTTAAGAGATCGAAAAAATAAAAATAAAAGAGGTTTCTCAAATTTCTCTTTTTCACATTTATTAATACTAGAAAAATAAAAAAAAAAGATAGGAAAGAAGGAGACAAAAAATTAGATTTTGCAAAAAAAAAAAAAGAAAATAAAGAAAAGTCTAATATTATCGTATTACTTTAAGGTTGTCGAGATTAGGATTGGAATTTGGTGGTAAACAAAAAAGTGAAATAATTTTAAAATAATAAAAGTATTTAATTCTTTTTTATTTGTAATTTTTTTTAAAAAAATTGAGCTCTCTCTCTCCCTCTCCCCCTCCCCCTCTCCATCTTTCTATTTTTTTTTTCAATATTAATAAAATTATCAAGAAGAAAGAAATTAACACTTTGACTTTTTTTAATACTAAAAAGGAGAAGAATCACTCTAAATTTTTTATTATTTTTATTATGCAAAGAGGAGGGTATTTTCTTCTAAAATTTTTTAACTTACTAAGTTGATTTAATGGTGTGATAAATTGTCTAAAAAATAACTCTAGATAATAAATTGATAATGAGACTATATTTTATGGGGGGTAAAGTGATAATAATTTTAAGGGTTAAACATGTCTTTTCACTTTAATTAACAAACTCCGTTAAGTTTGACCATTAGTTTTTTGAGGGTAAAGTGACTAAAAGATAACGTTCAGGGAAAATTGATAGTAGCACAAAACGTTAAGGGGGTAAAGTGATAATAATCCGAAATTTTATTGCTTCAAGTATATCATCTATGCATTTACTGATGTCATCAATATATTGTTACAGGTTGTGGAAGCTCCAGATGCAAGCACCTGAACAACTTCTTCATGTTTGACATCCAAGAATATAGTTGATTAAGGTTGTGTTCTATTTTTCTGCATCACTGGTGGTAGACATCATCTATTTGGAGATCGGCTTGAACATGATGTGAACATCACATACAACCAAGTTGACCTATTCTTGGGCGAGAATATTCCCGAAGCAATGGATTTATATTCCCATGTTAAATCCTAAAGCAGAAATGAGGCAAGGGACATTACTGGGTCTTGCCTAATTAATCTTCTTGAACTTTAAAGCTTACACTTCTTGACATAACTTGGCTACTCAACATTCTCCAATTTGTATGGATTATCTTTGCTCTTGGGTTATGAACTATTATTTGAGAATACTATATTCTTCCCCCACTTTTCTTGTGTTTTAAGCCAATGTTGCTGCCATATATGCTGCCAGATCTACTTTTGCAGCATAGAATATTGCAACTTTTGATTGGTCCTATACTTCAAGCTCGATCATTGGTTTTTTAGTATACATATTTATTTCTGGTTTGATTGTATGTTCATCTTCTAGCATGAGCTGATATTTATCAGTTATATATAGCAGAGTGTTAATCACAAATCCTGTACAAACAAAATGACAAAAAATCTTCCAATTACGTCTAGGCTGAAGTGTGACATCGAATTACTTGGCCGCACCGGACTCATCATCCTACTACATCATCACGGACATGTCATCACAGACATGTTTCACAATGTGATTCTTGGGAAAACAGCTGAATAAGTCCCAATATGGAGAATTAGGTGAGCAAACTTCCCCTCGCCGACTTATCTACAAACTTTTGAAGTACATAATAACTTCACATACCATCAAAAACAGGATCAGAATCTGACCATTGAAGAAATAAATCAAAATATGGAAAGTGATACCTTCTATGTACACTTGAAATCCTTCTTCTATCTTATATATGGAAGATAAACTAGCTTGCCCAAATACTCTGTGGTAGCCTGTACTTTTGCTCCCAAAGAGACAATAGCATTACCCAGCCCTTCAATGGCCACTGGAGTTTCAAGCTCAACACCAGTAGAATCATCAGTATCAGAAAATGTGGTGGATATACTAGCCAAAGAACACAACCAGAATGACCCCAGACCAACAACAAAAAGAAGCTTAGTCACAGAACTAGAGAATGAAGCAAAAAAGACTGAAGGCAGCATCCTCACAAGATCCTTAGGAACAGTATCGTCCTTGTTTATCTAATGCACAGCCCACTTTTGGGATATTGCTTGCCCAAGTACTTGCAAATTCATATACTTCTATCAAGTAATCAGAAGTACTCCATCAGTGTCTCATCCAATTTCAAAATCCCTTATATCTCATCCAATTTCAAAAGCTATCAATTTTGCTTGACCATGAACCTTACGTTTTGATGAAACCACACAAACTGAGCTCCAATCCAAATGAGCTTACGCACAGTGTGAGCCAAAAAACTAGTCTCGATCTAATATTGACCTATACAGAATGTATTAACACTGAAGCTTTTGCATGTACTTGGATGGATCTAGCATCTCCTCCAACCATAACTCAAAAGCTAGGAACAGCCACTTGGCAACAAGATTCTGACATGGTAAATCTCAAAAAGTTAAGATTTTGGCTTCAAAATTGTTTCACCAAGCTCGTCCTGCTCTAAACAGCTGATCCTCCCGAGCTACACTTGATGACCTCCCCTTTTTCCTTCCTATAGACTTGATTAGAACTTCGACCATTTCCCGATCATTCTTTTCCAAGTCTTGTGTGTATATCGACCACTTAACACTCAGATTCCGTTAAAAGGGACAGCCAAGTTGAGAAAAACAAATGGTCACAGAAAAAAAGGGTGATGTGAGTAAGTCCTCTAGCTCTAAAGAATCGAGATTGCTTTCAGGGTATATAAGCACCCTTTCCTTTTTACTGACTTTATATGTTGTCTTTACACAATGAATGATCTACACCCGTTGTAAAACAGATGGCTCACAATTCACAAAGCAGAAGTTCCACAACGACTCATTAAACAGTGAATGTTTCTATAAGCTACCTTTGTGGATAATAATTTACCAAGAAGGGCAGCATCAATAAGAATCCAAGATTTAGCTCTTTTTTTTTTCCCAAGTTATGCTTGATCCTTCAAATAATTATGCAGAAAGGATGAACCTCCGGGTAACATGCATGCATTACAGGTTAAAAATTTATTCTTCCATCCAGAATCTTTGTTCCAACTGATTTCCCGGTCCTTGTTGACTGATTTCTCATATCCAGATATATATCTGGACTAGCTTACGGAACAGTATCTAAATAAACCCCACAAGTGCAATTTAGGCTGTCTTTAAATATGTTGAAGCGGTCTTAAATAGAAATTCGATATGGCAATATAATACAAACTGAACGTCTAAGCCTTCTTGATGTCCCTGGCACTAATTAAATTGTCGCTGTGATCTGAGCCATCTCTATGAGCGTAGAAATGCTATGGGAAACCCATTCATAATCAATAGACGAGCGTCTGATTAGTGAGTCATTGAGAAAAATGGGGACAAACCTGCGATAACTACAAACGAAACTCTAGGATAAGAGTCCCTTTTAGGACTCAAAACCCAAGAAGACCGGAAAAATCTTTAAACAAATCATGCTTGCAAGTGAACTACCACTCTGTCCCAACACAGGACCAAACTAATATCTAGCAAAGCAAAAACATGAACGCCATTTTCATATAAATTTAGAAAAACCAAATTGATCAGACGATTTATGACAATTGCCAAACTACAATAATACGATCATTTAGTGCGAATGACTTATTCCTAACTACATAATAGTGATTAGTTATTAATATGCAATTAAACCAGCATGCGATCGAGTACTTCAGGAAGAGGGAGCAACCCAAACAGGTGGGCCCATCAAACTGAAAGACCGAATATCATCAAAGCGTTCAATTTTGCCGTCTTCAACATCGTAGATGCCCATATCCTTGCCACCTCCTGGTTCAACATCATAGTAACTGTCTATGCAATCGTCGGTGAAATAAATACAGTTAGGCTTGATTATACCAGGAAAGCCAGCGGATTCAACCGAAAAAGCTGCATTATACCCAACGAAGATGGAACTGTTCCCCAAACTGGTAACTTCTTTCCAGCGGCAATTGATTAGATCCAGTCGGAAGACTCGAAAATTGGAAGCCCCATAATTCAGATCTTCATCTACAAAAGCACCGTCCCGCGCAACTATCAGCAACTCACCAGCCAATTCCACTAGATAGGAGACTCTATAGAGAAGTAATTCTATATCTATGCTAAAAAGGAGCTGTGCCTCCATAGAACCAGGCCCAGAAACATCACATACAATGATACGGCCACTATAAGTAATAGCATAGAATTTCCCATTGTAATAGTTGACATCGGAGAAGGCTCCCCAGGGACGCTGCATCTCTACTCTTGTCCAGCACTTGTCCCCCGGTCTCCAAAACCCCAGAGCACCACCTCCGTGACAGACCACCATGAGAACAAAGCCGGAGAACCCGTCCGAAGCCGAAGGTGGTACCGACAAAGCTGCTCTTTTCACGTAAACGAAACAGCTAGGTATATTCAGATTATCATACATAGGGAAGGTGGATTGATGAGGGAGCTCAATTTGAACACCCGACAGAGGGTGCAACATATTCATCTCTCCTCCACTCCCGACGGTGATCAGCCATCCTCGTGACTCCATGCATTTTTTGTTCTTGGTTTCGGGGAGTGACAATTTATTCCAAACCTTACCCCTGGATAGACTGTAAAATTCCCTATCGTCGCTGTCTTTTTTCTCTGCTAGCATGAGCAGAGGAACGGTAGGCCATAAGTTAACAAAATTTTGCTTCGGTGCAGCCATACGCCACGAGGTGCAAACGCCACGGAAGGCTACAAAATCTTCTATCAGACTTAGATGCCTGCTTATCACAGCCAACAGATCAGGTAAAAGCTGCGACCAATCTCCCATGATTTATTCTATAATATACGCCCGCTGAAACAAAACCAAAAAAAAAAAAAATTAATAATAACAGATGTGTTGAAGACTCAATAACAGATCTAACAAAATTGTTCAAGAGTCAAAAGGTTTGTGTTCGGAAAATTTAAGGAGTCAGGTGCGGCCGTGAGACCTATTAGGTTTCAGGTGCAGGAGTCAGGTTGGGCTCGCAGTTGAATAACTTTGTCGGACACTCGTTTTAGATTTGTGAAATTGACTTGAACCGGCCGCATCATTGGATCTCTATATATAGGGAAGCAAGAGTCGAATAACCAAATCCAAATCAAAACTGGATGGTGTTGGTTTGTGGGTTCCGTTAGGTTGGGCTTTGGCTCTAATTTGGCGATGACTCCTGAGTGTTTCTAATCTATGGAAAAAAAAATCCAAATCAAAATTGGTTTCCGCTCGACAAATTGAACCCAGAATTACACTAACTATAGTGTGTTTGGATAAAGTAATATTTGAAAGGATTATTGTAATATTTTTTTGTGATGTATGTAAGATAAAAAAATAATTTAAAAAAAAATAGATTAAAAAATATATTTATGATGCAAGTAAAATATTATTTGGGATAATTCATCAATTCAAACACAGTACATTTGAAAGTCAGTAGAATGAAAAAAGGAATTGAAAGTATCTAAAATAATATATGGCAGTTTCTTCTAAAGAAAATTGGATTTGGAATAAGTACCGTGTATTACATATATGGCAAATACCAAATCAACCAATATAGAATTTGGACTTGTTGACATTTGACAAAAATATATATATAGAATTTGGACTCCTTTTTTTTTTTTTTTTTTTAACATTTTTTTGGAGGGACAGCGTGACAATACTTTTGACTTTTGGGATGAATGACCCAATACAGCACATCGTGGGCTTGTTAGTAGTGGCACATCGTACTTTGGTGACTTCGCAGAATTAATGAATTATACGTTTAGATAGTTCCTTTGAGACAACCGCCAACAATCTTAATTACACTGACCTCTCCGCGGCTTATCATAATAATAACAAATACCTCCTCCGTGATTTCCAAAATTACATAAAACTCCCTTGAGATTTTAAGTTCATTTAACAAGTACAATACCATCTCTTTGCAATTACATCAACATCAACAAACATATTATTGTTTATACTCCTGTTGGGTTTCTGGAAAAATCTCATGGCGTCAAGGAATAGGAAAAGGAAAAGAAACTAAAGCGAGACTAAGAAAAAAAAAAAAGGAAGAAGAAGATGAAGAAACAAGAATATGGCCCTTGTGAAGTCGCTTACTCAACAAATGAAATCTCTTCCGCATCCCCAGCGGTGATCAGATCAGAGGCCATCCTCTCCTCTTATTTCCATGCATTACTTCCTCTTGGTTTTGGTGAATGACAACCTCCAACAATCTTACTCCTTAACAGATTGCTGCTGTGTTTTCTACTAGCATCAACAATAAAAGTCGAGACGTCTGACTTTTCAATATTAGATTTGATGGGGTTATAGTTCCAAATTTGAGTTCGACTGAATTACAAAAGTTATGTTAAGGTTATATACATATGAAATTTAAAAAAAAATGACGCAAGTGATCCTTTCATTTTTTTTTTTTAATTCCTAACTTCTTGGAACAATGATAGAAATGCTATAGTAAAAGTTAGCAGACGTAAGATAAATTCAAGTTAGGAAGGCGACTCATGGATGACAGATGAGCACGCAAACTCTACGAAAGCCAAAAAATAAAACCAACTATTTACTTCGAACAAATAACATTCTACATGAGAGCCTTAGAAGAATAAATTTATTTCAGCCGTGAAGAGTATGGCAAACCAAAAGATGAGAGGCAGACATGAGGGGGCCGGACGGATAGGTCAACTCCATAGATGTATTAGATTTTTAACTGCAATTATATTAATTTGCCCCCCTAACTTGTCTATCATTGGATTTTTTTTTAATCTTTGTAATTTCTTTTTATGAAAGTATCTGAAAGCAAATCACTAGTAAATAATTGGTATCACTCAAATTTCAATGCATGGTTAGTTATTTTACTGCAACATTAATGTAGCTTCGAATAGTGACTAAACATATATTGATTTCTTTGACAAATCAATTCTTCTCTGTATATGATTAGTTTATTTTAAAATAGCAACTAAAAAATTTACTAAGGCCCTATTTGATAAAGTAATTCAGCACTTAAATTTAATATATTTAGATTTTAATATATTCAAACGCGTTTGATAACCAAAATAGAACATCTGAATTAATCAAGTGACACTGAATTTTCTAGGCAAAACTTGCCTCCAAAAGTAAGTGATAAGCTATTCACTTATCACTGAATGTGATATACACTAAATGTATCAAATTTAGTACTTAACAATTCAACAATTTAACGGATTCAGACTTCAGATTTCAAAGTTCAGATTTCAGTTTTATCAAATGCACCCTAAATCAAAGAATTTTTCTAACATCTAAATTACATCTAACTTATCATGTAAATGCACATATTCATATTTATTGCGCCATTATATTTATATACTTCCTCAATGTAACTACATTCTTGCAAAAATATAAACACTCTCAACAAATGACCATTGAGCATTCTTTAGCCAAAATCCTAGTAAAAAATCTAACCCCAAACTAATGATTGTGTGTTTGATCAAGCATCAATCTTCACCAACTCCATAAAATTGATTTCAAGCATAAACTCTTCATGCAACTTCATCAAATCGGATTTGGAAGTAGTACCATGTTTACATAGAAAAATAGCAAATTGACCAGGATTAGATTGCGTTGCACCATAGCTTATGAGGATTTTGAGTTTGGTTTGTGGAGACAATTAAGTCGAGTTTACCAATTCCAATTATTAATTGGAGACGAAGATTGAGTTTCTTCTCTAAGCTAGTTCTGTTCTTCCAACTCCTTCAAAGCTGTAAATGATTGGTTTTTGACATAATAAAATTATCTTTCAGGTCTTCGGCTGAATTTTAACTTTAAAATTGTCAAACCAACTACATTAGATAAACTTGGATTTGCAATTTTTATAAGTTGGACAAAATTCGATTTACTTGTTTGGTTTTTTAATTGGTTTCAACTTTCTGTATTGTATCCTGAGAAAACTCACTTTCCAAATTGTATGAATTTCTGAAACAAGGAGATTACCCGTGTGAGAATTGTTGGCTGTCAGCAAAGCCCCTAGTTTAATATTCTACTAGCAAATTTTTCAATTTTTTCTCCTTTTCTTTTTGGTAGAAATAGCAAATTTTTCTTATAGTCCCCTATTTAAATTCAAAAAGTAATCTTGAGTACTCTTGCACTATAGGCCCCAAAATGCCTCCAGAATAAAGTTGGATTAATGGGCTTACAGAAACATTTTGATTTTTAGCTTCTTCAAGAATCAAGAATGAGTTACATATATCGATTCTTAAAAGAACGCCACTAATTCTTTAAAATTGAGATTTAGGCCCAAATGACCTGCCTCTGGTGCTGTTGGGATATTCAGAAATGTGTTTTTGGGTTTCCCTATTTTTTTATTTCTTAAAAATTATCCTAAAAAGACATTGAGCAAATAGCTTCATGTGCAATCAAGCCTATCTTTTCAAGTCAAAATCATGAAATCGAGTAGCTTTATATGCAATGGAAAGTTATCCACACTTGGAGGCAAGGAAATTCTTCTGCAGACTTTTTAGCAAAGCGTTAGTCTTTGAGACATGGCCTTTGGCCCTCCATAGAATCCAAAAAAAAAAAAAAAAAAAAAGCAGCTTTATATGCAAAAAGACTTTCATTTCAGACTCAACAAAGTTGCCAAGTAGTGACAAGTTTTTGATCCGCACAAGTAAGACTAGATAATTGAAATTCTCAAATACTTTAACAAATTCTTGAATAAAGCTCTTCAATCTTTGTAATTTATACTAAATTGTAGGTAGAACTTAAGTCATATACAGGCTGTAAATTTAACTCAAACGGATATTAACAATGTTTGGAAAAGATTTGATTGTAGGCATGGCGTACAGTATCTTGATTATTTAAAAGTCGGAGTCAGCACTCAGGTGTCGTGGGGCTTTGAGGGACAGAAGTGCAGGTATACAAGCATTGGACTTAGCTGAAGCAGTAAGATTAGCCTTAATCAAGGCAAGTGGAAGGCAATGGTTAGACTTAGAAGTCTGTGTGCAAATCCGTCTGAAGCACCTCATGGTGCCGTTGAAATCTAGGAAAACTAAAGACTTCAGATTGGGTACCATGACTGATGACATCAACAACTTGAACTCTTTGTTTCAAAAATGCTCATTTTGCTCAAATAAGGGTGGTGATAGTTTGGTTAAAAAGGTTAGCAGATATACATTGGGCATATATAGTGGTGAGGAATGAAACAATCCTCGATGCTCTAACACTTTTGTATAGCATTTTGGAGTCTTTGCTCAGGGAGTGTATAGCTTTGAATCATTTGATACAATTCCTACCGTTTCTTGGAAAAAAAAAAAAAAGGCACTCAGAAAAGCTCTTGGGTTGGTGATGATGGATTGTTGAAGGGATACTTATTCCAGCCCATCCGTCCGTAGCTCAATGTTTTCTGCAACTTGGATGAAAGGCGATGACGTGATCGTATTATATTAAATTTCTAGACGAACTCGTTTTAACAATTCAACAAAAAATGAAAAAGAAATTGAAAACGAAAAAAAAAAAAAACAGAGAGCGCAACTAACTTCCCAGAATGAATGCCACAAAAACCTGAACATTTTGAGTACAAGTACCACTTAAGTGACTTGTTTTGTCGTCAAAAGCCCCTTTTTAAATAAAAGAAAAAAGAAAATAAAAATTCATTCATTATCTTAGTTAATAATAATTTGGTGTTTATGTTGTTGATTAATCAATCGGAGAAGAGCATGAACACGGCTTCTGGAACTAATTTCTGTATATGACTTTAAACGAATGCATGTCAGAAATCAAGTCCAACGGGAAAATGTCGTACTCTATATATAGGGATAATTTCAGAAGCCCCCTTTCAGATTTCTAACAATTTCACTTTGCTCCCCCCAATTTTAGAAAATTACACAAACCTCCCTCAAATCAACAAAATGACTACAATACCCTCTACTTAATGGATAATTCATCACATATGTGGGATATAAAAACCAAGTCAAAAGTAAAAGAAAATATAAAAACTTGCAACAACTTGTCATCATTTCTAACCCTACTTTAATTAACAGTAGTTTCTTTTCTCTTTCTATCCTTTTTTTTTTCTATTTC